AGTAACAAGAAGCTATTAGAAACAATAAGCTACTAGTAACAAGTGCAGGGCAATTGCACTGCTTAAGTCCATGCATCAGCTCATCCCTAGGTAATCGATCAAAGGCTTGTTTGAGATCAAGCGAGCAGTGCGGGACTGTTTCGGCTTCGATGGACTGGCTGTGAACCTGGCACATTGTTGCCGGATGCCTGCACAGAAGGTGAATATCGTGATCAGGCCTTGGCAATACTCCGCCCCGAAAGATATGCTAAAAGCAGAATCTGGACCAGGGTCGGCAGCATAGCCTCCTTCACCTTGCGGGCGTAATGTCCTAGGACTGCTTTGCCCACAGGGTCAGTGAGAGCTATGGGTCGAAGATCAGTAGGTAGAAGAGTCAGCTTTGCATCTTTCCAGCATTGCGGGATCATGGGCCTCGTTGTCCATGCTGTGGCCAGGAAGGTGTGGAGCCACTGCGCCAGGCTCCCTGCAGAGTTCTTGACGAGAATGGTTGGCAAAGGGTTGGGCGCTATAGCTTTGTTCTCCTTAAGCTCAGAAAGTTGTCTCTCCAGTTCCTCCGGTGTGAGAACAAGAGCATGGGTATGAAAAAATGGCAAGGCCACCCGTTCCGTTTGAAAGATGGCCTGGAAGTACTGTTCCAGGAGTTGAAGCTCTTCCACCGGGCTGAGAAGATTTCCCTGATCATCACGAAAACGAACAGTCTTCCTGGTTTGTTTCGGTGTCAAGGTTCGAATGGCCTGGTACAGTCCAGGGGAATCATGGCTAAATGCTGCTCGGCGCGCCTTGTCAGTGACCTGAACCACTTTCTCTTCCTTTCTTTGTTTGCAGTGCTGCTTCAACTGTTGATGTAGTCGCTGAAATTTGCAAAGACCCCGCGGACGCCGTGCCTGATGCAGGTGGTCCCACTTGGTAGCGACCAAGGACTTTATTGGTACGATCCTCAATCCAGAGCGGCACCTTCGAGGTGGAGTGATGTTGAAGCCATGGTTTCGTTACTTCATCAAACTGCTGGGTCAAGTTCGTGTTCGTGTAGTCAAGGGCGCTGGCCTGTTGAATGGCCCCTTCAGTCCTCTGAACAACATTGCCCCACCGGTCATTGTTCTCTTTTCGGTCCTGTGCCAGTTCAATTAGTGAACCATTTTGCACGGGAGCAAGGGTGAGGCCAACCACACCTTCCAGTCCATGGGGAAGGAGCCAACAAGAGGCCGATGGTCGGGGAAGTGAACCAAACATTTGGCCTCATGTGAAAGTTTATCTGACTGAGGCTTCCGCATCAGCAGGAAATCGATATTGCTATGCCCCCGCGGGCCAACAAAGCTGGGGGTGTTGTCATGCGCACGTAAGGAGGTGAGTCCATGCACCTGCCACAGATCCCAGAAGCAGCTGTGGTCGCCATGTTGTTGGCTGGGCCCAGTGGAGGGTGTGTTGGAAAAAAAGGGTGTGTTGAAATCTCCACCCATCAACAAAATGTTTCGGTATGGGAGGGAGCGTATGAGTCCATCCAGCTGAGTCCATAAGCGCTTCCTGGAGAGCTGTGGGTATGGTCGTGCTTTCTTGATGCCCTGAGGGTATTGGTAGACATTGATGAGATCAACCGTTCCTTTGCGGGTGTGGCATCTAATGTGTTGTACCCGCCCAGGCAGCACATGCTGATATGGTTGAAGAGACAAAAAGTCTGTTTTATCAGGGTCAATAAGCATCCTCCCGCACGCGCCTCGTCGGCGGAAGGAATTGGCGAGTAGCCATGGGTCTGCCAGGCCTCCTCTGCACTCCAGTTGGTGCTCTGGATCATCACTACATCAAATCCTTGCTGCATCACCCACGGCATAAGCTCTGCAAGGCCACTGGCCGTGAGAGAACAGCAGTTCCAGCAAAAAACTGAAGCACGTGCTCGTCTGCGTCCAGGTGGCCCATGCCAAGGAATGGAAGGAGGATCGGGGACTGCAGTATCATGAAAGCTTCCAGCTTGGTCAGGAAACCAGGTCAGCAGGATCACCTCCAGAACAATGACCAAGCAAAGGCCAAGGTGCCGGGACACCATGCTCAAGCACCCGGAGCGCCAAAGGCATTGCGGCGCAGGACAAGGCTGACCGCTGGTGGTCAGATTTTGTGCAGTCAGAGGCTTAGATAGGTAGATAGGTAGATTGATAGATAGATAGGTAGATAGATAGCTGGATAGGTAGATAGATAGAGATAAATTTATACATAGATTGAGCATTTCCCACTTTCTATTGGATCCGTTACCCGAAGCCCCAGCTGCATTTTTAGGACCCATCACATGCGCGACGGCAAGCACAGCACCGGTGTCTCTTGGCATGCTTGTTGCGCTATGCCCATTTGCAGCAAAACAAAGGTCAGATCAAATCGCGATACCAAAAAGAAGCTGCACATTGCCAACGAACGTCACACGCTTCGTGCACTATCCGTGGCTCAGGTGAAACGCGTGGCCTCAAACTCCTTCCTATCAAAGCCGGCCTCCAGAAGTTGTTGCACTGTGTAGCCTGCATCCTTCAATTCTCGTGCATTGAATCCAGCTTCTTTCAATGCCCTTGTCATGAAACCTGCCTCCTTACATTGCTGGACAGAAAAGCCAGCATCCTTGCACTCTTTGGCAGAAAAGGCAAGGTCCTTACACAGGTTAGCAGTCCAGCCAGCTTCCTTGCATGTTTTTGCACTGAAGCCGGCCTCTGCAAGAGGGAAGCCTGCATCGTAGCAATCCCTCGCCGAAAACCCAACAGTCCTGCACTCTTCGGCCGTGAAGGCTGCGTCCTTACACTGCTTGGCTGAAAATCTTGCCGCGTAGCAATCACCGCAGGAGAATCCTGCATCTTTGCACTCCTCGGCGGAAAAACCAGCATCCTTGCACTGTTGAGCAGAGAAGCCGGCATCCTTGCACTGCTTCGCAGTGAAGCCACCAATCTCTTTGCATTGAGCGGCAGTGAAACCAGCAAGTTGGCACTTGCCTATCATATGTCCTGAGTTATACAATACTTTGCAAGGGAGGCCCCTGTCCAAATAGCCATTAAGAAGGGAATGTCTGAATTCTTCAATCTTCTGGGAGTCTTCAAGGTTTTTCAGCCACTCGTTCCGATCTTGAGCTAGGATCTCATCGGGTTCTCCTGCAAGGAATTCCTGTAGCCTTGTTTCAGAAGCTTCGATCAGCAGACGCTTTAGCATTCTTGGCGCTCTCTCGGCGCCGAATACTAAAGCTTCCTGAAGCAGCACAGGCGACTCTAGTCTCCCATAGAGCCAAGAACGTCGGAAGTTCCCAATCACAGGGTGAAGCGAAAGGATATATAATCCAAACGAGAGATTACGAATCGCTAGGAACCCCGCCAGAGATTCCTGCCCAGTGTATCTGCACATCAATACCAGACAGAGAATTCCCTGTGGCCATGTGCTTGTCCAAGCAAGCAGCAAGGCTGATTGGCTGCCAATGATGGCAACAAACAATCGGTAGGTAGTTTTTTCATCTCATCCAAAGGCGTCTTCGAAGGATCCCTGAGCTTCCTCAAAGGTAGTCCTAGAATACCTTGATAGGACCTCCAAAAACGCTCAGAAGTCTCTTCATGTGTGCTGGCCACAAGGATTGCGCGCCAAATGATGTAGAGAAACAGCACTGCCAAGAGCCCACCATCAGTCAGCATCGGCAAGGCTGCTTCTGAACAGCTGATGTAGAAAGCTCCAATCTGTGGCCACAAGCCGATCAATGCAAGAATCGCTTGAGCGAGCGCATAGAGCATCCAAGCTGCAGGAGTCTTGTAAACAAGTAAGGACAAGCATCCCAACAGTCCAAGTAGGAGCAAGAAAGCCACAAAGCCAGACACACTGGATTCAGCATAAGACGCAGCTGCCCAATATTGAAAGCCCAGCGTAGAACCAGCGACCTGCGGTCAGAAGACAGGCAAAGTACTCACTGATTTAGAATGACAAGTCGCAAGCAAAGACTTGACAGAAAAAACTTCGAGAATGGTCTTGTTACAAGGTCGAGCACCTGCAGAAGCAGCAAAGGACAAGTGATGTGCCAGTGGTGACTCACGCGGACAAGGGGAGGCATCTGGACACACACTTCAAGTCCAACCATTGCTGCTCCAACTGCAAAGCCGACCCACGTCCTTGCGTGGAGGAGGCATGTCCCCACAATGACACAGTCAGCCATACTCTTCAAAGTATGGCCCATGCCATCGCCGACGGCACCCACGGTAGAAATCTGCAAGGCGCCCAAATCCTTGGATCGGTCACACAAAGAAAAGCTGGGCGCTATCACGCAAGTAGTTTGACAGCCGAGTTTTCCCTAATGTTCATATATCTGCTTGTCACTCAATCAAGGGCACAATTCACGGTTTGTTGTTCAACTCAAGTCGTTCAAAGCATCACACCTCCAACATCTCACCAAGTTCTGCACAAACAGAGTCCAAAGGCCAAGGTGTTGCCCAAGTGCCCACAGCTCCCATGCTAAGCCACCGCCTTCGCTTGAAAGCCAGCCAAATTTAAGGGCAACAGCCACTATACTGGCACAAGTGAGGTGGTGGAAGATCACAAACAAAGTAAGGCAAAGGCTTCGTCCGTTGCCGACATCTTCCCTTTCAGAGTCTCGTGCGGGCTCAGATGATAAAGATGACAAACGGACGTAGCGGTCTTGGCGGCAGGATATGTTGCTTTTGTAAAACACGGTGACAAAGCGTACTGCTTCACAAAGGCACGCCATGACATATGGCGACAGCCTGACGTGCGACAAAAGGCACCGCTAAACATCCTTCAACCAATTGCTAGACTCAACATCTCTTATTGCACACCCAAGCAGCACAAGCAAGGAAACCCAGTAGCGAAACCTGACCAATGCCTCCTCCTCCTCAACCTCTGACAGCTTTGGAAGGATTCGAGGTGGAGCCTGGAGAATCTGTGGTGGGAAGCTCTTGGATCTGCATGCCAGGTTGATGTTGCATTCTTTCCTCAGTGTCACTCGATGGTTGCTCTGGCCAACAAAAGAAACTCTTCACCCAGTCCAACATGTTATTGAACTTGAACATGAACGTAGAGGGTCTCCATTCCCAGCTTGGTTTTCTGCATGTACTGTAAATACTTCGTTCTGAGCAGACTGACATACTTACATAACATATTGCAAAATGTTTTCTACGGCAAAACCAAGGCAGCCACATTGCAACGCCAAAGTTGTCGATTAACCATGCCAGGTTTCCCACTACATTTGGAACAGGAGGCAACATTGCGTCTTGCTGATGGTGAAACCTTGACGCTTCTTTGGCCGAAATGCCTTCCAAAAGTATGGCAATCGGTCACTCAAATGACGTCTGAAATCAAAACCTGACTGCCTGTCCCGTCGGAAAAAAGTGTGCTGGCAATCATGTTGCTCACCTTGTCCTTGTTCTACTGAGCCTTTAGATTTTCATGTATCTCATATCTCCTCTCTCCATACCCTTTCTCTCAAGAATTGTCCGCACAAACGGGTGTGTTCTCAAACATTTGAGCTGTTTGACTCTACTAGAGACGCGGGAGGTGCCGCGCCCGGGACGATAACACCAATAAATTCAATGGGCTTTGCCTAGGGGTGGGGGGGTTCGCTTAGTCGTCGGCTTTTGGATCGCTTAGTCGTCGGGTTTTGGATCGCTCAGTCGTCGCCCTCGTGTGCCTTTTTTTGTATTAAATTATCGGGTAATCTTTTGACGCAGATCATGTTGATGTTTTCATGACGCAGTCTCACACGTCGTAATGTGTTTTCCGGTGCGGAGTTGCGCATTCAATGACGGTATGGAACAAAGACGAAACAAACCAAACAGTTTCAATCCAAAGTGTAGAAAACAGTACAGGCACCAGAAGGTAAATAGACGGTATAATCCAAAGTGTAGGTAAATAGATGGTATAACCTGTGTCTTTCTACACCAGTCGACGGTATTGCATCGAACAATAGACGGTACCAGCCGCTTTCCGCAAGCCCGCCAAGTTCCCAACCCCACCCCACCTCTTGGGCTCCACCAGAGTTTCGACGTTGGACTTTTGGAAGTTTCGAGTCCAGAAGGTGTTGCTTTTGGAGGACCCAAGATGGACAGTGTAGCTTTGCAGTTCAACCAATATCTCCTTTTAGCTACCGAATATTGGCGTTTTCGAAGAAAGCCATATAGTTACCCAAGAAACGTTGTGAAGAAAACTGTCAAGTTGCCGAAGACAAGTCTCCGAAGAAAAACGCCCTGCCCCACCCCACCCCACCCCTTCAAAATGTTAGCCGAAGTGAACGTCATGAGTGCTAGTCGAAGTGAACGTCATTACCCCACCACCCACCCCATTTCACGATCATTGGACTGTTACATATGACTTTAACTTGAAGTGCATGTCGCAATCCCCGATGGCTAAGTGATCCCAAATCCGATGGCTAAGTGATACCTCGATGGCTAAGTGATCCTTTGTCCAATGGCTAAGTGATCCCTTTGCCTTTGCCAAGTCCTAGCGCCAATTATGGAGCAGTTTCCGTCCACAAAAAGCAGATGCAAAGTCAAGTCCTTTTTCGGCGGGTTCTTTGCTCCAGCTCGTGGGCGCCCTTCGGGCCATTAGGCCCTGAAGCAGTGGACCCACGTCAGGCCCGTTTTTCATGTTTGGGAAGCGACCTTGAACATGGGACCCTGGCAGGGTCCAGACCTTAGAAACAAAATAGATGGTCTTGTCACGGCTTGTCAGGAAGAAACGTTTTTTTGAGCAGGTGAACATCGTGAGCAATACAATCAATAAAAGTTGTTATTGATGGTTCGCTTGGCGTTTTCGGTGGTGTGTATGTTTATGCTGTCACCAATGTGAAAATGTCAAAATGCGAATCTTTGAGCTCTCAAAAGGCGGTCTGCGGTACACTTCTCGTGTATGTGCATTCCATGTCTTTGACATGTACGTTGTACGCTAGTGTTGAGCGCTTTCATTCTGTCTTCGCACTCTCCCTTGGAGTTGAGTGAGCTTCGCTTTCAACTCCACCTTTCTAGCGTCCCACTACACCAGGAAACTCTTCATAGTCCATATACTCATACATTTCTTCCATTAGCTCGTAGAGCCTTCCTGCTTGTCGGCTATTTTTTTCCTGGTGTAATGAAACCAGCCACTACTGGAATCTCTACAGGGGGTGGATGCCAAGACTCGGTCTCTGATCCGTCCATCTCTACGTCATCATTGTCCCCCTCAGCCGCAGCTTCATCTGTGCCCTCCATCGCGGCCTCTGGTAGATGTTCTGGATCAGCTGCTCCCTCTTCTCCATGACTTGAGTCTGGCCTCACCTCCACATACTCTTCAGGGATTTCCACCAGTTCACCACTGTCCAGTCTGACAGTGACTGTGTTCCCTGATAGTACCCTTTCTTCTCCTTCAGCTTCACCACTGCTTCTGGCTTCTTCTGCACTCACTGGGGGTGTTCTTGGTGGTGGTCTTCCTGCCGCTGCCGCTGTTGCTTCAGATGCTGTCCTGTACGACCTGTTGATGAAAGGTCGTCCCTCTCTTTCTGCTTGCCTCATGTTCACGGTCTTCCATTGCTCTGACAGCAGGACACCAGCCTTGACCCTGTTCCTGCCCTCCAGGAACTCCATGAACCTGCGGTCATCCGGTTCAATTGAACTCAAATCGACGAAGCCGCCGTTCTTGATCAGGCCCTCGTGCACCCTCTCGATGTAGTCAACTGCCATCGAGGTTTGTCTATTGTGCCAATCGGCCCAATCACTTTCACGGGCTTTCTCTTCTCGCAAGCTGCTTTCTAGTGCTTCTATTTTGGTGGTGAGGGCTTTGACCTTCCCAAACAACCAAAACATCAGACCCAATAGGAGGCCAATGCACAGAAACATTAACCACCCTTCTGCATTTTCCGAGTGGCTAGGCTTCTCCACCTCGCTCATGTCGTGACCCCGCAGCCAGCTCAAGACCGCCAACCAGGATGAGTCGGTTCAGGTACTTGCTCATCTTACTCGCCAGCTCTTTGATCACAAAACTGAGATCTAACCTTTCTTGTGACAAGTAGATGCCCATGCCCACGATCGATCGGAACACTGCTGCATCCGCTGAAGTGATGAGGTTCGTCTCGTCCACCTCCTGGATTTCTGCTGTGGCCGGCAATTTCTGTCTTTTCACCGCTCCATAGCTCTCCTCAAACATTTTGATCATCTTGGCGGCATATTGTCCTGGCTTCACCAGCAGTCCTTCTTCGACCCACACATAGGTCCTTTTCAGGAACGTGAACTCATCTCCAAGTTTCCTTGCTATTGTGACCTCCACCTGGAAATCCTTCTTCAAATCCTCAACAAATCTTTCCACCACCTTTGACCGGCCTGTGAACATAATGTCATCCACATGAATCAACAGGCTCAGGGCCTTTCTTCCTTCACCCTTCTTGCCCAAGCAGGGGTTGACCACGTCGAAGACAAAGCCCTGGTTCTTGATCAAGTAGTCTCTGATGTGTTCATACCAGGCCTTTGCCCCGATCCGTTGTCCTGGCAAATTCTTCAAGACCTTGTACTTGCCCAGGCTTGTTGAGATCTGCAGTGGTCTTTCTTGTGCCACCTGCAGAAAGGCATCTTTGATGTCAAGGGCTCCAATCACTGGGTCACCAGTCTCCTCTTCATGGTAGTCCTTGCTTCTCATGTCCAGCAGGAGCGCTGGGAGAAGCCGCAGGCTATAGCTTCCTGATGCAGGAGAGTATACAGAGTATACATCATCTCTTCGCTCAACCGCGTACTCCCGGGCTACCAAGCGTGACCTTCTCATCCACTGCTTCTTCTGCTGCCCATCTGGCAGGGTTCTGGTCTTGATTCGCCAGTCTCGGACAAACTTGGTGGTGAGCTTGTCCAGGTAGAAGTCTTCGATCTTCAGGTCCTCAATAACTCCCATACTCTTCAACCTCTTCTCTTCAATCTGATCAGCCAAAGCTTCGACTTCATCACTTGGCTGAGGTGGCGTCCTTGTCAGTGCCGCCTCGCTCCATACCTCCGGCTGATCTTGCTCTTGGGCACCTGTCGGAACATCCTCATCCACTTCCAGCTCGATGGTCTCAGACTCAATCACCTCATCGAGGTGATACATCTCTTCATCTCCAATGCATACCTTCTGGACTCTCCTTTCCACCATTTGTTCATGAGATGCTGTTCCCGGTGTGCTTGAAGATGATGCTCCAGGCCCTTCCTTTCTCGGTCTCTTTGCGCTCTCCTCCTCCAATCTCTGCTTCTTGAACTCCGGTTCTGCTTTCACCGCTGAAAGGGGCGGCGCTGACTTTTTCAATGCTCTCCCTGCCGAGAGACTTCCCTGCTCCTCCCATGGCATAGGCAACACCACCATGGTTGGCACTGAGCTCCTCTCCCCAGACTGATCTTCAGGAGCTGGGGTAGTTGGCATTCCTCTTCTTGGCTCATCCTCAATTTGTGGAGCTCTTGGGGCCGGTTCGCCTTCCTCCCTTTCTGGTGCCAGCTGTTCCAAAGCTCTTGCTTCTTCCAACTCTCTCTGGGCTTCTTCCTGGCCTTCCTTCGACTCTGCATAGGCCTGGACTGCTTCAGCATCCTCATCTCGGTGTCGGAAAAGGATCATCTCCAACGGGGGAAAGTTGCCTGACTTCAGAGCTACTGGTCCCAGAGCTCGTTTTGTAGGGACAACTCTTCCACCGAAGCTGACTTGGTACTCCCACGTATATGTCTGGAAGTCCTGGTAGTAGGCGAGGAACATGCTCCAAGGCCTATCCACCCGTCTCACGCTTCTCGTGAGCATCACTTGCGAGCCATCGCCCACCAACCAAGCATCTTGGCCTTCTGTCTTGCCGAGGAACAAGGCAAGACGCCATTTGGGATTTCCTTTTCCCGATTGCGGCTTGGTGTAGGCATAGACTGGGTTTCCAAAAGGAACCACCAGTCCATCATATGCCTTTCCATGGACCAGCTCATAGCTTGTGATGCCTTTGCTCGCCTGGTACCTATTCAGCATCCAGCAGGCATGTCTTGCTGCCCAGCTCCATAGGCCGTGGTTTGTATTCAGCTTCAGCCCCGTGTTCTTCATCAAGTACTCCATCACTGTAGCTGCTAGTCCACGGACTCGCTGGATGGCATTCTCTGCTAGTGAAATGCCTGCTGAATCTCTCACTCGAGTGGTGTAGAGGCGTGTCCTCAACCCCATTGCATGCCTCGAGTTCAGGACAATGCGTAGAAGTGACCTTATCGTTGGCTCATTGTCCCCATATAGTCCCACCTCTGTATGGCCCAAATTC